CTTTTACAGAAATTTTGTCTTTTAGAGAGGAATTTTATGTATTCGAAGCGATCATAACCGGGCACGCGATTGGATTCGAAAAGACAAAGGAGGCAGATGGATGGATAAAGAGAAAAGAAAGGAAGAAGATTAATCGAGGAAAAGAAGATCGGGTAAACTACAAATAATTGATAATGCGGAGGAGAGTCTTCGAAGAATATTGGGTACTAATTTAATCATGTTGGCGGCCATTTTGATCGCTTAATGCTCCCCTAGGCTGGGGTCTATTATTGCTCAAAATTGGATAAGAGAGATGAGTGACTGAAGAGAATGAATGATTACTGTGGCATTTGATATTCATTGTAAGTTCTCAAGCCCAACCTTCTATTCTGATACCAAGTCTTGACTTGGGTGTCCGTCAGCCCCATCCTTTGAGCCAACTCCATTCGATCTTGGACGTTCAGGTACTTGTGCTTTTCGAACATCGACTCAAGCTCCTGGAAATTGGGAATTCATTTGGTTTGCGTTTAAATGATCCATTTGACTATTTTGTCCTCCAGTTGGCCTATAAATCACCATAAAAATCATGAAAAATGGCAAAAGTTTGAATTAAATCTAAATCGGACACAACATATATAGTAGATACTTGACATGTGTCACGGTCCGGTCCTCGGTTCGGACCGGACCGGACTGAGAAGTTGGGGCTTCGGTTCGGACCGGACCGAGATCGGATCGACTGATACGGACCGAGTGCACATGTCTACCAGATACTCACTTGTAACTGTTTATCGGTGAAGATCGTCCTCGCTTTTCGGGCTTTCTTGCTTCCGCCTTCTCGCGAAACTGGACTTGATCGACCCTCACTTCCACCAAATGGACTACTGCATGTGGCTTTGCGATCAAGTGGAGACTCAATCTCGATGCTATCTGAAAACAGGATTGTATAAAAGATTGATAAATTTGTTTTTGTGATTTTAAACTACTGTGGTTTGCCTAACAATCGTTATCTATAGTTCTCTTCTGTAGTTGAAACTTAATCGAACTCATAGTCGTTATCATTTCACTTACCAAACATTTTCCAAATTCCTTTCTAAACTCTATTTGTTATTTTCCACAAAACATTCCATCTTTCATGGTTAATCGTCAAAAATTTTCGATTTTTCTAGGTTGAGTGGGCTCAATTACTGAAAGGCAATCTGTATCCACTTCAAAACATGACTCCTCATTCAAAGCTAACCACCGCACCAAGCCGATGTTCTAGGTCATCCTGTAGATCTAATTTATGAGTGTCAAGGAGACTAACCTTTGCAATTTTGGATGGTAAGAGGTGGGTTCTCAATAGGACTGGGAAATGGTCTTCCTCTTTCTCCGTCCAATTTGACACGATATAATCGCGCACTTGATCCAATAACCCATCCCTCTTTCCGCTGGGAATGTGGAATCTCTTTTAAGTGTAATTGTGGAGAAGGTTTGAGGAGTAATCTTTGAAATTTGAGCATAAAAATCTTTTTCTACTTAACACTTAAGATTTCTAACAAGTTCTGTTTCGGTTAGCCCACCACAACCTGGTTTTGGGATAAAAGACTAAAATTTGATGCGTAAAGTGATTGCAACAGTTGCAGTTGTTTGCTAGATCAGTTGCAAAAGATCAGTTGTTCTTGATTTTTTAGAAATTATCTCAATAAAGGTTTTAAAGAAAGGATTGCCCTCACTTGACTCCTCTCACTAAATCCCCAAATGAACAACGAATTGATAGTAATAATTCCGGTAGAGTGCCCTCATCTATATCCCTTTCTATCTAGGTATATTGGATAATTCGACCTATGGATGATTCGCTAATCCGAAACAATAATCCGTGCGAATAATGGGTGAAGAGAGGGCAAACCGGGGCTCTTACAAATAAATACCGTAAAGAACATTCATTCATCGGAAAGGATCGGATTCGAACAGGTAATAGATGAGATTATTGTGTTATTGGGGTAAGAGGAGGTACAGTACATGTATATGTACAGTACATAAACAAGATGAATGAGAAAATTGACTATTTTGAAAGCTCTGCTTCGACGGACGTCATGGAAGCGATTCATAAAATGAAGGAATTTCAAATAAATACATAACAATAGAAAGAACTACATAATCAATGCTATCTTTAAGATCTTGGTTTCAAGAATTGAAGAAAAATGATCTGCTGAAAGCTAAAACACTGGTTGGTAAGGTATTTTTGAAAAAAAGCTTTACAATGAGTTGGATTTTAGAAATTTCTTAAGTATTTCTATCTTTTGACATCCGTTACCAATTTCAAATCACCAACCACTTTCTCCACTCGTATTCGCCATGTCATCATGTCCACGAGGCGCTTCCAAAAGATCTTGAATGCGAAAAGATGGAACATGTGGAGTGATGGAAGATGGAGATGGCTTCACTGTTGGTAGAATAAGACCACCCAATCCAGATAGTTGTGGAGGTCGGGCTAATAAAGTCGCCATGTGTGGATCGATGAAAAGAAGGAATTGTCGAGGATCCAACATTCTGAAATTGATTGACTTCAGATCAAGCACTGGAATGAGTACAGGTTAGACAAAAACATCTAAGTTACAGACATAGTAATTTAAGTTTAAGTACATTGGTCATCTATTTTGATGATTTTGAATGCTTGATGCTTTTAAATGGTTTTGAATCAGGCGCATTGTAAAGTATTTAAACGTAACAGCCTAGGATTTTGAAAAGAACCCATTTTAGTAAACTTTTATATTATTTAGATCAATGCTTAAGAAGTAAATTGTATCAAAACGATTAAGAAGTCTCAGTTTTGAAAGAAAGTTCGAATAGCAAGCTAACGCAAAAAAAGCCAAAACTTGGCAACTACCGTAACCGTTCGACTAAAAGATTGAAAGTTTTGGGTGCCGGGAGAAGGGGAATCGTTTGTAGGCATTTAAAGCATTCAGTTGAAGGAAGGGGAGGGTGAGAGGGCGGGTCCAACAACCTCCATCCCCCATCCGCCCATTCAACCAATCATCGACACTCTGAGGGGGCGGTATCCATTTGCACTCATCGTGAAATGGTGAAAGAAAATACGGAAAGAGAGAAGATGCCCATAATTGAGCAACCACACGAAGTGAGCACTCATTGTCATTTGTGGAGAAAGAGGTGGGAGATGGCCGCGAATTTGCACTCAAGTGGATTGTTTTTGAAAATTGCTTGGCTTTATAGGAGTTGAAAAACAATGAAGAAAGGATTGTTAGTTGAAATTTTGAGTCTCAACGAACGTTAGAATGAACGGTAAAACGTTAGAAAGTTAGAAACAGCATTTGAATACGAGGGAAATTGACACAAACAGTGAAAGCCTGTTCTCGGAAATAAGAAAACAAGAAAACCCAGAACTAAAAGAGTATGGACTTAATGGGATTTTAATAAGAAAATTGAGCACTATCTCAATTTAAAACACAACCTAACCTCATTTTCACAGTTATTGTCATTTTTTCAAATTTGCAAACTCTAGTTACTCTGATCGACTCAAAATTTTTGATCTTAAATCCCTTAGACACCGCCGCTTGGTCACGGATTTAATAGAATACTTGGAAATTGTAAAAGGACAACCAACCTATCTCTCTTTTTCAAGATTTATTCAAAGTGAATTCAAGTTTCAGAAGATCCAATTTCTTTAGTTTTAGAAATTCCAATCACCTCCAATAATCTTGTTTATAACTCTTTTCCAATAAGAACTGCTAGAATTTGGAATCTATTCCCTAAAGTTTTTTGAGAGTCAAGAGTAGCCTTGAAGTCTTTAAACTATCTGTAGATGCTCTTAATCTTGCAGTTCTAGTTGATTCTTGACTTTATCTGTGCTAGCCAATTTTTACATACATTATATCTATTTCTATAGCTCCTTTTCGTGTCTATGTGTGTTAATCTTTGCGCACTTTGTTTCAGTTTCTGAATAAAGTGTAAATGCACTAGCTGTTTTGCTAAAATTTGCATTAAATTCCCTCTCTTAAAAATTCTCTTAAATTCCCTCTCTTAAAATAAAAATTTAGCGTGAAATGCGAATTGGGCGGTTGTTGTAAATTTTAAAGTCGAACAACTCGGCGGGAAATGACGTTTTTTACAGACTTTAGATTCGGAATTAGCGAATTTTCTACCCTAAAATGGGAGTTTTCAGCTCCTTAGCTCAATTCCTCGAATAAAAGCCTCGGACAGACAGACGGACAGACGAACGGCGTTATTTATATTGGTGAATTGGATGAATTGGATTGAATGGTTTGGATTATCTCTACAGTTCTTTATTTCTTAAAAATAAGAAGACAAGGGAAAGATAAGTGTTTGCCTAGAAATAGTCGATTAACTCAAACAATCACAATTGAGATGATATCCGATAAACTTGTAATAGCGTTCAAACCAACAATAGTTTTCTTTTTGGTGTCTCACCTTGTTGAGACGGATGTCAATTAGCCATTGGGTGTTTTGACACCAATTTGACATATGTTTGGAGCCCGCGAGTGATGATCGAGGGATATCCGGTAGGGGGAAATTGAGAGGGAAGTAGAGGACACGAGCCACCACAAGGTAGGCAGATGTGAACTGTGTGGGGAAAGATAAGTGATAGGGATGATAATCTGATCGAAGTGAGCCCATTGCTTGCGGTGATATCCCCCGAGACTGTTGCCACTTAACACTTGAGGCAATTTCCGTTTCAAAATCTTGAAAGCGGAGATTTAAACCAAAATACTGAATTTTACTTTACGTAACTTTTAGTTTATTTCATCGAATGGAAATCATTTTGCATTTAAAACTGCAGTTTCCGAATTTACATACAAACTACAAAATTACATTTAACATTTCATTTATAAACCGCCGTCACTCGCAAAATGCATCTCATACTTTTACTACAACCCTTATTGGCGGGTTCTGAAGCTTCTAATCAGGCAAGTTTTTTTTAGCTTTCTTTATTTAAAAGTTAAGATGTTAACCATTTCGTTGTTCGTAAGTTGTAAATGTTTCTGTTTTTTAGACCGATAGAATCAATGGGATGTACTCTTTCGAAAAAGCAACGCCTTCAGCGGGAACCGGAAACGAATAAAGCGGTTAGTGGTTTTTGGAAATGTTTTGTTGTTGCAGTTTAAGGAAAGTTGAGCCCATTTTGTATTCATTTTCTAACTTTTACACCAAGTTTACTCCAGGTTAATCGTTTACTTAAAAGCTTCTAATCAGCTCATTTCTTGAGCTAATTTTTATAGTATGATGAATAATTTAAAGCTAAATATTATAGAATAGATATGTCAAAACCAAATTAACTTTTTAATTGGTGCTATAGTAGTTGGGGGGGGGGGGTTCGCCAAATGAGCTGATTATTTGCGCCCAGGGGTTTTTGACTATGCTGAATCGATTAGTGATGGTTTCACACAACAAGATTTTGCAAGTTTTAACAGCGTTTATATCAAATGTACTGGAAACCTAATGTACTCAGGCTTATTCTGGGATAAAGTGACCAAAAAGTACCCCTTGTCTTGAGTCATGTCCTCGTTGGTAACTTGTTGACATTTTGTTGTTGTTATTTTTGTTGCTATTTGTTATAAACGTTGTTAAATGTTGTGTGAAATCATCACCAATCGATTCAGCATAGTCAAAAAACCCTGGGTGCAAAAAATCAGCTCATTTGGAGAAAAAATTCCCCCCAACTACTATAACACCTTTTTGATCTTTAGAATGCACCGGGGGAAACGTTGAATGTGAAAACAGTGATCGAAATGAAAAGGACCGAGAGCTTCAAGCAAGAATCTCATCATTCACATCATCGAGAAGAAGAGGAAAAAAAAGAGCAGAAGAAGACGGATCCACGTCCAGCCACTCAACGACCACAACAAGTCTACGTTCCACCACGGTAAGAATTTGGTCGTGTTTTAGATGCCTTAAAATTCCATTTTATTCTTTGTTAGCATCTTCTTTTTAGGCTGCCTTCAATGGATCGAACGCAAAGCATTAGCAAGCCACGCAAAGATGTCAAGATTGCCGCACATCCTCGGTAGTTGTTTAGACTTTTTAGCAGCTTTTACGCAATTCATATTGGTTTTAATGTGAATTATATAATTTCCTTTAGAATTGCACCAAAGTCAACGGTTTCAAAGAGGAGCACCAGTTTCAATCGTTCAGAAAAGAAGCACAGGGAACGGGAAAAGGTCGACATCTCGAGAAGCATGCCTAAACTGGAGAAAGTTATTGTACAAGACGACTCAAAGAAGCACGTTGTAAGTTGTTCCAATTCTCGAGGCTTATATTTTACTTTAATAGATTTTACATAACTTGTCTGCTTTAGATGTCAGTGAGCCTGGTCTCGAAGCACCAAGAGCAAAAGCCCATCCAAGCAATTCAGCACGTTGTTAACAAGCCCGCCCCGGTTCACTCTACCTTGAAAACAGTAAGTTATTTATCTAAACTACATTAATGAGTTAGAAGATAAGTTTTACTATTTTCCCGTGTGCAATATTTTTTTATTTATAGGTTGACGAGAGAGCATCACCGCCACCAAAAGCTCGTGAAAGGGATCGTCCTTTGCAAGTGCCACAACCAAGTGCATTCGTTAAACATTCACCTCGCACCAATAAGGAGGAATGTGAGTTTTAAAATAACACCAAAGTAAAAGGTCGGATTGCAAAGGGTTTTAGCATTCCATTTTAGTTTATACGTCCAATTTTTTTACGTTTAGTACAAGCCGACGGATCACCACAGCGAGAGCTTCAACGCACTCCTCGTCCTCAATCGACTCCACCACGAGAGAAAGAGCACAGAGGTTAGATTTTTCAGATTTACCGTAAATATTCTAATAGAAGAGCCGGCTTTTCTATTTTTCAATGTCCCTCTAAAATTCTTTTTCGTGCTCTAGTTACAGCAAACCCAAATTTTCAAGAGCCCAAAAATGGGTATTTTTGTTGGATTTTCATCCGGTTTTTGACGTCATTAAGCTTTAGTCTATAACTATTATTTAAAATCTTTGGAAGTCTTTAAATAGTTGGTATCTTGCTATCCGAGAGTTGAAAAATCTGAAAATAATGAAAAATTTCGTCTAAAGGAGGCTCTTCAATTGGAATACGATACGATAAATACGATAATTTTACTCAGTTCTCTTTAGAAGACATGCGTCGTAACCGCAGCCAAGCCAATATGCACCATGCGGCCCAAATGCCAATAGTTCTTCCAGGATTTAAACCAGTTGATGATGGTATTTTTTAGTTAAAAGTTGCAAATCTTGGTTACATTTAGATCTGATTCCCCGCGAGTCACCCGATGAGGCGGCCGACCGATTCCGTCTTGAGCAAAACATTAAGGAACGAGTGGATGCAAGGTGAGTAAAGATTTGAGTTTTTAATCAGTACGTAGTTGATTGGTTTCCGGCAGATGAATAGTTTAGAATAGTTATTAGTTACTCTTATACTGTATGAAAAATGCTTTTTAAATTTAGGCATCGCGCTCGCAACGCGCCATTTGATCCCGAGGAAGACACGCTTTTTGAGGTGAGAATTTTGGATAAGAATTTCCGTTCATGCTATTTTTTCTTTTTTATTTTTCCACTTCAGATACCAATGCGAATGCCGGTGATCGATTTGGTGAGGATTTGAGGGAAATTTCCGGACAACATTTCACATCAATTTCTTCGTCTTCACTCTACGGAACAATAAAAATATGGGATCTTTTTTAGAAAAGTGTAAATGAATTGTGGGATAATGGTTTTAAACTGTGATGCTTTTTTCAAGGTTTTGATTTATGAACACTGAATTCCACTGAACTACTGAACTTCGATTAACTTGCCCAAAAAAAGTTGCATACATCCCTATAGCTTACTGTAGTTTGTTTGATGATATTGATTTTAATGTTCTTTTTAATTGAACATGCACAATTTATTAAAAAGAAGCCCGCATATCACACCAAATTTGTTGAAAAGCAAATCAAAAAACAAGCGAAACTGATGGGAAATTGTCACAGCGGTTTATCACAGGATTAAGAGTATTACACTTGCGCCTAAAGTTTGAAGAGTGGTAGTTGAAATTATGAGAAAATATCATAAAGTAGTTATAAACATAAAGGCCATGAACCTTATTTTAAAGTCCGTTCCAGCGGTGAAAGAACGAAGAGAGACTCGAGACTCCGGAAGTCGACGGAGAGTCTAATGGGGCTAAAAGATATAAATTTTATAAGCTTCAAAGATTGATCAATCTATTAACAGCGTTGAGAACGTATGTACTTCGTGCTCAAAAACAGAAACGCACCACTTCTGTTTCACTAATTCTTTTCAGAACACTAAAGGTTTGATCTGGTTTTGTTTGAAACAAATTTATATTGAAAACGTAGCAAAATTTGTCTTGATAATCTTTTGAGGTTTTACTTTGATCTTACCTGCTTCAGTAGTCATATCAAACATGACTTTGTACTCTTCATCGTTGAGTTGAAGCATTGTTCGGAGAATTTGCAGCAATTGTCTACGCTCTCCGCTCACTTTCTCGGGTCTCATAAACTGAAATACATAGGTAAATAGATTTTGATCGTATTTTAAAGCCTAAATCTTACTGCCAAAGTTTTAAAGTTACTTGTTTGTCCATTTACTAACCTGGAAAATGATGTTCTTGATATACTCGGTGTTGTTGATGTGATTCTCGCGCTCGTTATTTCTTTGAGTTCGACGAATTTCTTCTTTCAACAGAGAAACCTAAAAGTATCGGCAGGCTCGGCAGATTTGTAGTAAATTTGATCAATCAGATCTAACCGATGATCAATCAGATCAATCAGATCTAATCGATGATCAATCAGATCAATCAGATCTTCCCCAATCAGATCTAACTGATGAGTCCTGTTACTTCACAAACCTGATCAGCGAATAATTCATTGTTTCCTTCACTCTCAGCCAACAATTCTCGCAGGGTAGTGTTCTAGAAAGTTCTTAATACTATAAGACAAGGTTCTTTTTGATTTTTGCGTAAGTCATTTCCCTTTCAGCTCCTCTAAAAACGCTCACAGGCAACCGATTTACTTAAGTTAGGGGTCAAAATGAAGAGAATTGTTCCCAGATCATTTATCTGAAAACAAATTAAAGAAATATTGAATTTGAAGAAAGTTTAGAATGTTTTAGCAGAAATGTTTTAGCATAAGAAGCAAAAGAAAGCATTAGCAAAATCACTGGTGAATTAATCAACATTCAAAGGTTCATAACTTTCTTCAAACTCAATATTTCTTTAATCTGTCTTCAGATAAATGATCCTCAAACCTTTCTCTTCATTTTGAGCTTTAACTCATGTAAATCGATTGCCTGTGAACGTTTTTAGACGAGCTGAAAGTGAAATAAGTTACACAAAAATCAAAAAACCTTGTCGTGAATGTTTTAAACTTGTTGATAAAACTCTTAACTAACTTGTTGCTCTGCCACTTTGAGTGTTTCTTTTAGTTGTGAAACGGTGGCAATCGGGTACTCGTCTCCTCCGTAAATCGATCCCTCAATTGTGTCATTCATGTGATCACCAAAGAGAACATCGTGTAGAGAAGCCTCGGGAATTGGTTCGGATCCGGCGAATGTCGGTGAACCAATACTTCTTGAGGAGCTAAAAAGACAGTAAATCTCGATTTCTACAAGGTGCACCCTAGAAAAGCTACCGTAATCTTGTATCTTTCTTATCCATAGTAGCTTTTTCTTGGTTGTAGTTGTATTTTGCTTGAACTCACTAGGTTTGATGTACTGGTTCCTTTTCGACACTCCGATTTTGCATACTTGGTGTACTTGGTGCTGGCGTTGAACTCGTTGGCATCATTTTCTAAAAAACAGTCTTTCAATTAGTCAAAACAACTGCCAAATACTACTTTTACAAAACTTACATTTACATTGTCAAGTTGTTTTTGTAATTCATCTCTTTCTCGCCGTAAACCATCGATTTCTGACTTCAGCTTGTGCTCGACTTGCTCGAAACGTGATGAGTCGAGTTTTCGGTCGGAAATTATCTAAATATTATTACACTTACAAATTCGACTATATACCGCAAATACTCTAATTGAAGCCCCGTCTATAGGAGCATCGCGTATTCTAACTTCTTTTTAGGAAATCATTTTTTCTCCACCCCTAGATTTTTACCAGCTACAATTTTGGTACCAAAAACGATTTCAAGGACTATCATTTGACACCCAAGCATTGGAGGTCTTATGGAAATGATTGCTACTGCATTTTTACGAGGATAAGATAGACGTAAATATTCTAATAGAAGAGTCCCCTATGGGAGCGTTGTGTAGTCTAACTTTACTCTCGAACAAACGCTCATATCTCGACACCAGTACGTTTGTTTCTGAGCGCTTTGGTATCAAATTAAAGTAGAGAGAATGGGTGTTTTTTTTGAGATATCATACAGATTTCTAACATTAACCAGTGCTTAGAAAAGAATCACCCATTCTCTCTACGTAGTCTAGGTTTACACTCAAAGAACCGCTCATATCTCGACACCAGTACGTTTGTTTCTGAGCGCTTTGGTATCAAATTAAAGTAGAGAGAATGGGTGATTCTTTAAGATATAACACATATTTTTAGCATTAACCAGCGCTTAGAAAAAAATGATTGAAAAGTGGCAAAAAAGTAGATTTTTTATCACTTTTTCTAAGGGCTGATTAATGCTAAAATGTTATGTGTTAATGCTATGTGTTATATCACAAAAAATCACTCATCCTCTCTATTTTAATTTGATACCCAAGCGCGCAGAAACAAATGTCTGGACGCCAAGATATGAGCGGTTCTTTGAGTGTAAACGGTAAACGCCGAGAGATGAGCGATTGACTACGCGACGCTCCTATAGGCGCTTCAATTAGAATATTTACGGGAAAGATTAAAAAGCTAAATCCTACTGTCACAATTCACTTTTCAAACCTTGTCAAGTACTCCCTCGTGATCCCTTTTTTTGCCTCTCCAATGCCTGGGCTCCTCTGTTCTGTTCATCGCTCAACGCAGTCTCATATCTTGAGCGCAATTCTCGCAAATCGTCCATAGCTCGAGTCAACGAGGAAATATTGGCTTCAGCTAAAATTTTCTCATAATACTGACAATGAGTTTCAGAGGGAATGACAAAATTGAGGCAAACCTTCAGCTTTCCATTTCTCGGCCTCTCGCTCGGCTCGGCTCACCTTCTCGCTCCATCTCATTGATTCTTCGGCACGCATTGTTGCCTCGTTTCTGTAATACCATGATTTCTAGTGACATGATGATACTAGAATTGGTCCTATTTCAAGAAATTCTCCATACTCACTGTATCCTCTCGATTTCCACATCTTTTCCTTGCAATTCTTGTTTCAGCACCCCGATTTCTTGGTTCAAATTGTCGTAAGTGGAGGGAATTCGGTTTTTCCACGTATCATTGTACATCAATTTCGTTTTAGCCTAAAAATTTTGTATCACTGACTGACGAATTTCCCTAACAATATATTTTGTGTGCTCTTCTTGAGCGAGGGTTAGCTTTTCTGAAAGCACTTGAGTCTCCGAGGCGAGTGAGTCGCGTTGAGCCTGAAAGTGAAACGGTTTAATATTAAAGAAACGGTTATTAAGAAACGGTTTAATATTATTATTTCAAATTGCTTTTTTCTCACTTTTACAGAAGCCAGCGACGCCTTGAGCATATCGATTTGTAGGCTCGTCTGCGAGAGCTCGTTTGTCAGATCGAGAACTTGTTTGACACTAAAAGAGTACTGATTTTCTTGCAAAAGTTGAATTTTTCTTAAATAAATAGCTTTTTTTGTTCTTTCTTTTGTCCCAAACCTGTGGCTATCCTCGTGGATCTTCGTCTGCATCAACTCCATCTTCGACGTCTCCACTTCTCGTTTTTGCAATCGCAAGTCTGAATTTCAATTTTATTTCACAATTGCACATAAAATCTTTCCAGGATTTTTGAGTTTTTTTTGCTAAATTTAATTGTCCTCCTTACCTTCAGCCTCTCTTTTCGCAATCTCCAACGCTTTCTCGAGATCCACGTTGAAGTGATTGCTCTAAAATATGCATACAGTTCAATGAAAGATGAAAGGGTGTCGGAAAATTATGGTTAACGTATTGCCTCTAATAGAAGCCGCACTAAAATAGAAGAATAAGAAGCCGCACTAAAATGACGAAGCCCCGCCCACTCACCTGAGAGACAAAAAGTTGCACCAAATTGCGGGTTTTTAACTAAAAGTTCTGGAATTTTGTTAAAACTTGCATATTCCATAAGCACATCTATAGAAACAAAATAAATTGGATTTGCTTTATCCATTGCTGAGAAAACTAAAAAACTTTACAAAAAAATTTATGCGTCGTTTATTTTCAAAGTTTTTGAGTTTTCTCAGCAATGAATAAAGCAAATCTAATTTGGTTGTTTTTCTATAGAAATATGGCTTATGGAATGTGCAATTTCTGACAAAGTTTCAGAACTTTTACGAGGCACTTAAGAGGCAATCCGCTACGCGCATCTACTGCCTTTAACTTCTTTCTGTCTTTCTTTTTTTCTTGTTTTCTTATTAATTCGATGATTTGGTTGTTTTTTAAATATGAAGTCTAAGAAAGAGCTGTATCCAGCCATTATTACTCTTCATCAGCAAGGAAAAACACTCGCAGAGATATCTCGAC